ATTATTTATTACTGAACTTAATTGGTTGAATAGTAGAGTTTTTTTACTTATTAAAATTTAATCTAATTCTCATATAGAGCATTATTACAAATACTAATAATATTAATATATAAAATTATATTATAATTACAAAGGAAAGATGCCGCTGTAGTTTACTAAAATAAAATATTAATTTTCATTTTTTTTAACTTTATTTGAACTTAATTTTTTTTATTTATACATTATATGTTTTTAATTTATTTCTAGTTTTACATTACAATCTTTTTTTTTTAATATAAAACTAAATATAATGTTAGGTTTGAAATCAAATAGAAATATAGAGATTCACTTTTTATAGGAATTGTTTTAAATCGTGCAAGCATTTTTTTACACATTATTTTAATAGTCGGGCCGAGATTCTCATGCAAAATATATTTTAACCAAGTCTTCTCTAGGAATAAATTATTTTGCAAGATCTGGTTAGTAAAATTTGGAAAAAAACGTAAATTTTTTAAAAAGATGCTTCGGCCTAAAACAATATTTTGTGCATGTTGTCTAGCCCTGCCCATAATATTTTTTTACCCGACCCCAAGTGAAGATACTAAAAGGATTTTAAAATGGCTTTCGATACGGTCTTTGTAATCGTTTTTACATATTTGGATATTTAAAATAATTACAAGTTATATAATATACTAAAACATAATCTCCTATGAAGATTTTGCAAAATACCTTGAAAAAAATCGGTCAGTTTAAGATATCGATTCATCCTCTGACCTTATCTTATATATAGCTTTAGTTTGGCAGTTGAATTATTTTTATATTAACTGGTTTGCAACACAATATTTTTGAAAATCAGGGACTTCTACCAGTGTGAGGGGAGTGTGACGTTAGATCTTCATTAAAATTGGAGGAGATACGGAGGGTCGTTTTAATTTAGATTTCCTTTGCTAATTTTAATGTTATCTTTTATTAATTTAGATAGGGGTCGTCTTTAGCTTACGGGGGATGTAAAACAGGGTTGCCAAGTCCCTCTATCATCGGGAGACTCGCAATCCTCTAGTCAACACGAGTGATTTCCCTCTCACAAAACTCCTGCAATTGGAAATCTCCCCCAATTTTAAAATTTGTTCCTCATTTAAATTTCTATTATTTTATTGTTTCTAATTTATAAATAATAATTTTGAGAAACAGTTGAAAAAAAAAGATCATTTGTTTTTGTACTAAACAAATATATCTTTATTAAAATAAAAAAATTATTATATAAAATTTTGTCAAATCAAAGTATATTTACTTGATAAAAACGTTTTTGCCCTCTAGTTGTGGATACAACAGAGCTACGATAGGTTTTCCTCATAATCCATCTAACTGGACAAATTAAAAATGGGGATAAAGATGAGGAGCCCTTCACACGTTTGTGGGCAAGCCGCGCGTGCTTGTACGTGTAATAGTCCTAGGACTATTACTTAAACGTCTGTGGGCTGATGGGGAATGGTCAAAAATAAGCACAGCCCACACCCATAAAATGCTTATATACTTAATTACTTTAAAGGCAAAGGAGGACCCTTTTTAATCACAAGGTACATTAGATATATGATGGAAAATTAAGAGCAAATAATGAATGGAAAGGAAAAATAAGTCAGACAAAGAATGAGAAGAGAGAAAAGGCAGCGAAAGTAAAAGAAAGGAAAATAAATAAAAGTAAGAATGACCTGTTTCTATGAGGAGTTCATGGGAGATTTAAATAATTTGATTTGATCCTTAAGAGTTTCTTTATTGACCTCCTATCTTTATTCAACCTTAGAAACTGTTTCGTGTTTAGGCTTAAATCCATTATATCCTTTATTGCCCTAAAGAACCATAAAATTTTAACTTCCTATAAGTTTTGCCGTTGAAGGAATATAACCAATTTATGGCCTCGAGGACCAGGCTATTATTTGTGTGATTTCTCAGAATATGAGCATAAAAGGTGAGACGCTTCTTTTTTAAAGTCACATGTATTTGAGTGTAGCGTGATCTCTTCCAAAGATTATCATTTGAGATAATGTTGGGGTAAAAGAGCCATTTATTATTCTAAGACATTTGTTGACAAACGTCTGTAGTTTCCTGGTCCCTGTCTTCGTTATCTCTCATATGTCACCGCCATAAAGGAGAATTGGAATAATGGTGGAACTAAAGATTCATAGCCTATTGTAAACCGATTTCTCCCTTGATTTCCACAGTTTGAAATATTTATAAAAAGCACCTCTTGCATTTTGAATTCTGATTTTTAGTTCATCTTTGCAGCTACCTCTTTTATTCATGATAACCCCAAGATATTTGTAGGAGGACACCACCTTAACCAACTTTCCCCCTACCACCAAATCACCCAAAGGGGGGCATGAGACGATGGCATAATTACAGTCTTATCAAAGTTTATATCCAATCCGACCTTTAAACTGAAGGAACTTAGTATCCAGGCCAAATTTTGGTCCTCCTCCAAGCTTTTAGCAATCATCACCAAGTCGTCCGCATAACAAATCACCCTATTCTCCAAAAACCATGACTGATTGGATCCAAGTTCCAAAAGATTTGCGGCCCCCAGCGAATCGGTAATTATTTTTTTCATAACTATATTAAACAGCAGCGGGAAGGCGACACACCCTTGCTTTACTTCTTTTTTTGTTCTAAAGGGGGAGAAACTTTATTAATGATTTTAAACGAGGCAAAAAGATTAATATAGTGTGTCTTAAGAATCTTAATGATATATACGTCAATGCCTCATTCCTCTAAGATTGCCCATAAAGTATCATGAATAACGTTGTCAAAAGCACGCTTGAAATCAACGAAGATAAAGTAAAACGGTAATTTGTACTTCTCGCACTTCTGTATTATTATCTTCAATGCCAATATTGGTTCATTGATTTTCCTATTTGGGCGATAAGCGCAGATGTATTTAGACAGGAGATTTGGTGTGGAAGCAAGGATACGGTTTTTTAGAAGGGTCATGAAAACCTTGGACACAATAGATGTAAGAGCAATGGCTATAGTCTTTTAATTTGATAGGATTCGGGGTTTTGGGGAAGTTATAAAAAATTGTCATATTCCAGTCTGTTGGCATCCTCCCCGTGAGCCAAATCTTATTGAACAGCCTCAGCAAGAGCTGAGAGACCTCTGAGGGGGATTACCGACCCGGATGAACAGATGGCTTTGTGGTTGGATCATACATGGGAATCTTTGATTCTAGGAAGCCAGTCGTAATACTATCCTCTAGCCATAGCGTAGTACCATCTGACGCTAATTTTTCTGTGGCGGAAATAGCTAAGGCTATTAATAAACTTAGGAATAATAAATCCCCAGGTCTTGACAAGATCTTAGGGGAACATCTGAAAGCAGCCCCTGCAGAGGTCTCTTAGCTCTTGCTGAGGCTGTTCAATAAGATTTGGCTCATAGGGAGGATGCCAGCAGACTGGAATATGACAATTTTTTATAACTTCCCCAAAATCCCGAATCCTATCAAATTTAAAAATTATAGAGCCATTGCTCTTACATCTATTGTGTCCAAGGTTTTCATGATCCTTCTAAAAAACCGTATCCTTGCTTCCACACCAAATCTCCTGTCTAAATACATCTGCGTTTATTGCCCAAATAGGAATATCAATAAACCAATATAGGCATTGAAGATAATAATACAGAAGTGCGAGAAGTACAAATTACCGTTTTACTTTATCTTCGTTGCAAGCGTGCCTTTGACAACGTTATTCATGATATTTTGTGGGCAATCTTAGAGGCATGCGGCATTGACGTAAATTAGTGTTGTTAAACGGCTCGTTTTGAGCCGATTTTTAAATACGGCTAACTCAATATTTCATCTAGAATATTAATAAGCAAGCCTGAAGATTTTGTTTGTATAAAAAACAAAGGTTTGGACATCTATTAGCGAAATCTTAAGACTTGGGCAATATTTTTCTAGCTAAAATATTGAGTTAGCCATTTTTAAAAATCGGCTCAAAACGAGCCGTTTAACAACACTAACGTAAATATCATTAGGATTCTTAAGACACACTATAGTAATCTTTTTGCTTCGTTTAGAACAAAAAAAGGAGTAAAGCAAGGGTGTGTCGCCTCCCCGCTGCTGTTTAATATAGTTATGCATAAAATAATTACCGATTCGCTGGGGGCCGCAAATCTTTTGGAACTTGGATCCAATCAGTCATGGTTTTTGGAGAATAGGGTGATTTGTTATGCGGACGACTTGGTGATGATTGCTAAAAGCTTGGAGGAGGCCCAAAATTTGGTCTTGATACTAAATTCCTTCAGTTTAAAGGTCGGATTGGATATAAACTTTGATAAGACTGTAATTATGCCATCGTCTCATGCACCCCCTTTGGGTGATTTGGTGGTAGGGGGAAAGTTGGTTAAGGTGGTGTCCTCCTACAAATATCTTGGGGTTAACATGGATAAAAGAGGTAGCTGCAAAGATGAACTAAAAATCAGGATTCCAAATGCAAGAGGGGATTTTTATAAATATTTCTAACTCTGGAAATCCAGGGAGATATCACTTTTATATAATAAATAAAGTAACTTAATTACAAAGTAGAATATAAAATTTTAAAACAATAAAATATTATAGGAATAAATGGGAAGGTTAAAATAGCATTTTCATTAACATTGCCATAGGCCCGACACGAATTTTTTTATGTTTAAATTTTCAAATTCCTATTTTTTTTAACCTCCCGCAATTTGGAAATTTTGACCTGGCAACCCTGGTGTATAGTACGATTGATGGAGATCTAAATTGAATTTCATTACCTCTTATTTTATATTTATAAAATATCAATTATATAATTTAATTTCAAAATATTATTGAATATATAAAAACAAAATATGAAATGACATACAAAAAAAATATATAATAAAATTAGCGAGCTGTTATATTTCGTTAAAGGTGAATAATATTTTTGGCGTAATTCAAAGACCTAAACTTTAAAGGGAATTAAAGACATCTGCAAATATATTAAATATATTTTTTATGTTTATTTTAGATGAAACGTGCCGTGATGCGAGGTGCTCTTGCGATTATTTTGGATATATCGTTAGATATAGATGCCAAGTATAAGGTTTAAATTGCTGATTTTATTTTCCCAAACCGAAATATTTATTTAATTTTTTGAATATATTATAAATATTATTAATAAAATATTGACTTAATTTCATATCTTGTTAGCGTCTATGTGTTATTTTTTTTTCAACTTTAAAATCATTTTTTGAATCTACGTTATATTAAGTTCATGATTTCATGGAAAAATTTTGTAAAAATTACAGAAGTCGGTTTTCTACACATGCTGAAATACATTATGTTTTCTAAAAAAATTTTTAAAAAAGGGAGCTAAGGTTGTAAATCGCTAAAACAAAAATGGTTAAAATTGGGAATCTCGCTTATATCTTTTAGAAAAATTTTAAAATAAATAATATTTTTTTACGAATAAACTATAATAGTAAAAAAAATATCACTACTATAACTTTGATTACTAATCTAAAAAAAAATTAAGATTTTTAATTGAACGACCTTGCAACCCCAGATCCGGCCCCTACACAAACTCAATTTCCGAGTCTGTTATAGCATACACCAACCAATCCACAAACTCCGAGGTAAGATACATTGCTTCTAGATCCTCGGCTGACCCTGCACTCTCTGGACCCAAGACTGCTGCAAAGGGATCCGTTCCGATCCTCGTCTCGAGTAATATTATCGTTATTCTCACCGTTCATTTTTTCCTGTTGCTCCCAATTTCCGGTCGCGCCTTCGCTATCCTCCCGCGCCCACATGGGTGCCCATTTGACATCGCTGAATATTCGGTCCGATCTTTGCTCCCACATCTCTCGTACATTTGACATTCCGGTTGCCTCTCCGTTATTCTATTGCTTGGTCCTTGACCATAAGCTGAGAATGATTCAGCCCTGGATTGGACCGGCGGAGATGTTTTCGTTGCGGAAGGGAGGGGGATATGATAGGGAGGTGCCCGCAAAGGCGAGCCGCAGCGTCGAACAGGCGGGGCATGGCCGAGGATCAAGTAATGGACAATAGAATAATGGAGAGGCAACCGGTAATGTCAAATGTACGAGAGATGAGGGAGATCGGTTCGAATATCCAGCGATGTCAAATAGGCACCCGTGTTGGCGCGGGAGGATAGCGAAGGCGCGATCGGGAATTGAAAGTAACAGGAAAAAATGAAGGGTGAGAATCACGATAATATTCCGGGAGACGAGGATCTGAGAACGGATCCCTTTGTGGCAGTCTTGGGCCCAGAAAGTGCGGGGTCAGCCGAGGATCTATAAGCAACGTATATTACCCCGGAGTTTGTGGATTGGTTGGTGTATGCTATAGCAGACTCAGAAATTGAATTTGTGTTGGGGCCGGATCTGGGGTTGCAAGGTTGAAGTGCGAAGTGGTTTTTAATTAGTAGCGTATTGTGGGGAGTTATATTAGTGATATTTTTTTTACGATTATAGTTTATTCGCGAAACAATATTATTATTTTGTTTTGTTGTTTGCGCACATTATTGTTTTATATATATAAAATTACAAAAACAATTATTATTTTTTTTAAATAAAAAAGAAATTGATTATTCAAAAAAGGTGTGAAGAAAAAAAAAGGAAAAATTACAATTTAGCGATTTAAAACGGGAACCATTTTAAATGTCTCAAAAGAAAACGGCTAAATTGTCTGAAATTTATAGGGTATTCTCTAGAATTAGATATTTAAGTTTTATAAACTGCTTAAAAAAATGGTTTAAAGTAGAAATAAATAACATATTGACTGAGAAAGAAAAATTGACGATGACATAATATCTACATATAACACTTTTAATATCATACAGTAAATAAAACAAATTTTTTATATAGCTTATATCTCATATCCACCAGCAGCAATCCATACCTCGGCCAATTATTTTGATCAAAGATGATCAAGCCTTAAAAATGCTTAGAATGATGAAAATAAGTCGTTTTTCATCTGTGCTAATATCTAAAGACGATGGGGCTTTGTTTCCCCTTACCGCCAAAAATCAGGTTTAAATTTTAATTGTTAAATTCAATTAATTATGCAAAGTTATTAACAGTGATTATGTCTGTGTTCGATTCAAAATACAAATCGAATCGAATATTTACATTAATAAATTCGATTTGTATTTTCGAATTGAATAATTCTATATTAGTATCCTTACTAAAAACATTATAATTTCCATTCGTTGAATAACCGATTCGAAAATCATATTCTTTAAAAATATTTTCAAAAATGGAAAAAAAATGGATTATTAAAATTTAAAAAAAAGTGATTTATAAGATTGTAGAAAAAAGTTTAAAGAAATATAAAAAGTTCCGCAAGAAATATGTTAAATAATTAAAAATGATTTCAAATATGTAATGAATAATTTTAAATATTTACAAATTATTTTAAATAATTTAAATAGGTAAAAGAAATAATATTCGACAGATTATATGTTTTCCTTATTCGAATTTTCGAATCGAATATACATACTTAAGATACATATCTAATAACGAATAATTCGTTTTAGTTATAGTTAGATTATGATTACTCGTAACAATGATTTGTTTTAAAATCATTATAATTTGAGGAAAGTCATTATGGAAATGAAATAATCATTATCAATCACAACCGGCTCAGTTTAGTCACCCAGATTTTGGGTGGAATCAGGGTGCCAAATCAAACCAAATCACTAAACGAAAATTAAGCATAATAATATTCCGAATAGTTTTAAGAAAATTAAAAGGAGAGAACATTATACCGCTATAAAGACTTTCGAACCGGTTTATAACAGTTTTTTTAAATACATATTTAATTGTAGGAAAAAGATTTTCGGGTTGATTGGACATATTGTACAAAATAATTTTCAATGGCCGGGCCTAAAAACTCGATAGGAAATATCCACAGGCCGGGTCGCGCTGATCTTTAATTAGCATACTTTAAAATATTTATTTTAGTTGAATATATTAAATCGTTATAATTCAATTTAATAAAAATTTATATGTTGGTTATTATGTTATGTTACATATGCTATTTCTTAATGTTTTTTTAAATTTTTTTTAAAATAATTTATATGATGTCAATTAATTACATTTATTAATTTTTAAAAAATCCAAAATTTATAAAATTGATATGAATTTTGAAACCGGAATGAACCGATAAAATTTGTTCAGAATAACTGGAAAGTAATTAAACGGTTAAAATTTTAAGCTAAAAACGTGATTGGAGTCAACCCGTTTATTTAGCAATCGATACCCAAGTTGGAACCGATATATGTCGGTATACTGGTGCCGCTATCAACCTTTTAAAAATATTTTTTCCCGTATATTTTTAAAAACCGATTAAAACAGGGATATTTTATTGTTTTTTAAAACATATATTTTAATCATGGCGTGTGCCGAAAAAAATCAGCTAGGCATTGAGGCATTAGTCAATTTTTTTCCTCCTTCTCCAAGGTTGAGCTGAGCTATCTTTTCCAATAAAAGAAATGTTAGAAAATGAAATATTATTCAATATTCCGATCATTATGTGTATTTCACAAGGAAGTTTTCCGGATTTCGCTTTCATATTCCTTTTGGCAGGCCTTGATTTTCAACAATTGTATTTTTCAGGCGCGTACGCAGCGGGGGGGGGCAGGGAGACAAACCCCCCCCCCCCCCCCTGCCTAAAGCCAAAAAATGCAGATTCCCGATTATATTTTTCAAAAATATTATTGTTAATATTTATTCCTATCTCATATATATTTAATTATTTATCACATTCATCTACTAAGTTATTTTATCAATTAATTACGATTTCAAGTTCTCCTTAGCGTAATATTTACCTATTATTTTCAAATATTAGTGGCGTAATATTTATCTAAATTTCTAGTCAAATAATAATTATCTCTGAAACTCCTTGTCTAACAGGGAGAAAGAAATTGCAAGTTTTTCCAACGAGATCGAGTCTCCGCCATCAATCAGTTACAGCTTTTATGGAGTTAGAAGAGCCGATTATTAATGCTATTACTGAAATATCATAATGGTTTGAAAGAAATATTTCCTCAGAAGCAAGAAAATTATTGGATTCAATGCTTATTCCAAATTTTTTTCTCATTAGAATGTATTGTTTAATTATACAACATTTTATATAATACTTTTCAAAAATATGACATTGACTTGTTTAAGAAGATGAGAATAGCGGAGAACATCATATTAGAACTCAAGGAAATTAGAGCTAATGTTGATGAAGAATTTCATATTTTATATATTATTGTTGAGGAGTCAAAGGCAGAGCTATACGTGTTTAATATTTGTCCCCTCGACTTGCAGCAAGAAAGCTCATCGTCAAAACATTAATTTAGAATCAGTAGAAGAGTATTAAAAAACAAATGTCCCCTCTCTTAGATACATTTATAACCCAAATAAATGAATGGTTTTTAATTCATCATGCAGCACTTACAAATCCGCAGATATTACTTCCACAAAAGCCTTTCCAACCTTTTTCAGATGGTGATAGAAAAAAAATTAATATTTGTTAGATTTTTATCATGAAGATGTTAAAATATCTTATGATGCCATATTAGCTGAATAACTATGATTAAAAGATTAATTATGGTTGATACAGTCCCAAATAATGCTATCGTTGCATTATTTCAAACACATTTTAGATTATATTCCCAATCTATAAAAATTATATATATATTAGCAACTCTTCCCATTAGTAAACTAATGAGAGAACATTCTCTTTTTTAAGATGAATAACAGAACCATGCAGAGGTACCATTTGCAGGGCATGGTCCAGATTTTTTTTTTTGAATTTTTTTCGGCCCGGGTTTTTTTTTAAAAATTTTCAAGTCCGACCCGGCTTTTTTGAAAATAAAATTTTCAGGTCCGGTCCGAATTTTTTTAAAATAAATTATATTTATTTTCGATTTTTATAGCTAATAATGGATATTTCAAATATTTGGTTTTAAAATATACAGTTCGGCCCTGATATTTTTTTAAAAAAAATTTTCAGGCCCAAACCGGGTGTTTTTTTTAAAAAAATTTCGAGTCCGGCCTGGGTATGTTTAAAAAAATTAAAATACGGTCCGGCTCGGGGGCCTGGCCTGCAAGTCTCTGAAAAACATACCTATGAAATACAACTTCTGAAAGTAGATTGAATGATTTGGATCTTTTGAATATTCATAGGCATTTAACGCCAAGCAAGGATAGATAATTGAAAAATTAGCTCAAAACATACAATTATTCCTAAGAACTTTTTGTGTATTAATTTATATTTCCAACATTTAAATTTTTTATACTTTATATATTTTAAAGGCTCAAAAAATTCAAATTTCAATTTTAAGTGATTCATATCATGGTTATATTCACTTTATATTTTATAATTCACATTTATTTTATAATTTTTCAATGCTGGTTTATATATATAATTTTTTCATAATTCACATTAATTTAAAATTGTGTATTAGAAAAGTAATTAGTCCTAATAAATTTATGCTTAGTATTTTTAATTAACAATAATATTTCTTAAAAATATTTGTTAGCCCTCCCCCTCCCCCCCCCCCAATTCCCAGACCAAATTCCTGCTTACGCGCCTTTATTTTTTATTTATAATATAAATAAAATAATATAGATGGTGTTAAATAATTTTATATAAATATTATGCGTAGATTTAATTAAGACATTCATTCAGGTTAAATTTTATTAAAATCTTAGTATTTTTTCATTGTATAATTCTTAAATATAGTTTAGAAATCGGATTTTATTTAATATTATTGCATCATATTCCATATAACATATAATTATTTACCCTACATCTACAATAATTTTTATAATATAATAAATTGACAAGGGCTTTATTTTTTCCTTGTTTTCGAACATAAACTCATATTATGAACAAAATGGTAAACTTTTTAAAGTTTTATTTTTAAAAAATTAAATATTTTTTAAAATTAATATATTAAGAAGCTTTGAATAAATTTGTAGTCATAGTTAAAAATTATAAATTCTAAATTTATAATTAAAAGTAAAATTCTATAACTGAGTCCCCAAAAAGGAACCATAATTGTGTCTAAAAATTTCAATTTGAATTTTTTGGCGAATATAAAGAAACTCTCTGGGTTCATTTGTAAAAAGCCGTTCGCCATCAACTTAAGTTTTTAAAAAATCTGGGAAATAAAATACTCCTTTTTACCAATGAACCAAAAGAATTTTTTTATATTCGCCAAAAAATTCAAATTAATTATATTAATTCAATCAAATTAGTGTTTGCAGTAGACCGGTCTGACCGAATACTGATTAAAAAAGATAAAAGTTTGTTATGACTTTCTTTTAGTTAATGTACATGTTCATTAACACATAAGACATGATTATTTAATGCCTAACACTTTATAATATATCATTCATCGTTTACTTTTTTATTTTTCCTTTTCATTCATTCTTCAAGTAATTCAATTTATTAGAAATGGCAATTGAAATCATAAAAAATAATATTAATCATCACCCTCATGCTCATCCAATGAATAACTATTGATTTAGAAAATAGTATTAGTAGTGCAAATGAAAAAAATCGATCAAATTCAAATTTGAAAATATGTTAAAGAATTATATAAATTTTTTGGAAGGATAATTCTGGGAAAACATATAAAATATGTCTCCAGATATTTCCAATTCTTCAAGCACAAGTAAATTATGCATATATATTAAATTGAGAACTCAAAATTTTAAATATATGAATAAAAATTTCATCAAATAAATCTACTTATAGTTATGATTAGAGCTAGAAACAATAAAAACCTAAGATTAACGAAATATTATATTGGTATTGGATGGGTAAAAAATGGATTAATTTTTTATTTTTTAGAAGATAATCAGAATATTTATTTACAAATCAGTTTTATTTTATAACTAAATATCTATCACATTCAAAAACAGAAACTAATTAAATATGCTAATCAAATTGATTTAAATTATATTCAATAAATTTGTATTGGTTTAATCATTTTGTATAAATAATTTAATAAAAATGATTGATGATATAA